GGCCACTTTATTTGATTTCGAATGGATATTCAATAGTACATTTAACATCTCATTATACATTTAACATCTCATTTAACATCTCATTATCTCATCTCATCTCGTATTTTGTCGAAACGTGATCGGTAAATGCAATAGGGCAAAAACCCCGATTTTATATATATAGAATTCATGATTCTCTCAAATTACTATTAGTTCTCTCAAATGATTCTCCCAACCTCAACTTGATGATTCTCGGTAGTGGTAGCTCTGGCATTTGTTCCCCTAACGGGCTCTATACATTGGACAGTAGTGGTTGCTCGGTCACTCGTTCAGCTAACGGGCTGTGTACACCGAACAGTGGCACTCGGTCACTCGTTCACCTAAAGGGCTCCATACACCGAACAATGGCACTCGGTCTCTCGTTCACCTAACGGGCTCTGTATACGGAACAGTAGTGGTAGCTTGGTCACTCATTCAACTAACGGGCTCTGTACAACGGACAGCAGTGGTAGCTCGGTCTCTCGTTCACCTAAAGGGCTCCATACACCGAACAGTGGTAGCAACTGAATTCATACAACTGAATTCACGATTCTGTGGACGTTGCGGGATTCACCATTCTGAATTCACGATTCTGAATATACGATTCTGTGATGAATCTGGGTAGTGTCAGCTTGGTCCCCCGTTCACCTAACGGTCTCCGAACACTGGACAGTTCGGTCACTCCATTACCGGACGCGATCTGTGCACTGGACAGTACCCGTAGCTCGGTCACCCGCTTACCCAACGGGTACCGCACCCTGTACAGTACCGGTAGCTTGGTCAATCGTTCGCTTAACGGTCTCTGTGCACTGGACAGCACCGAGGGCTCGGTCACCCGCTCACCTAACGTGTCCCGCACACTGGACAATACCGGTAGCTTCAATCGCGGTAGCTGGACAATACCGGTAGCTGGACAATACCGGTAGCTTCAGTGGTAGCTCGTTCACTTGTCCACCTAACGGGCTCTGTACACCGGACAGCAGCGGTAGCTCGGTCACTCGTTCACCTAACGGGCTCTGTGCACCGAACAGTGGTAGCTCGTTCCGGGCTTTGTGCATCGGACAGCAGACAGTAATGACAGCTCGGTCAACCGCTCACATTGCTATCCATAGTGGTAGTCCAGTCACTCACTGGCTTTACTGGAATATAGTGGTATTTCGGTCACTCGCTGAACTAACGGTTTGTGAACTGAACAGTGGTTGTAGTACAATCACAGTAGTGATGGTGTAGCGATAGCTGCTCGGCCGGCACTTGTTTAGAAATTGTCCTCGATGACAACGTTACATGTGCAATCGTTCTTGTCGTAATAGCGGTCTGCTAATTAAATTCATTCTGATAATTCTGATAATTCATTCTGAGAATTTAATTAGTAGGAAATATTTATTTTTTAACTATGTTTTAGTTGGTTTACGTGGTAACACTGCCTGGTTAAAAATACCACGATGATAATTATTATTATAATGATTTAGTTGCATTGATTTTGGTGAATGTGGTCAACACTCTTCCGCTTCGGCGTTCGAAGCGGGAGAGGTTTTGAAAGAAATGAAGACTATCTGGCCGGGTTTTCGACCAAGGGCTTTCAGAATATAATATTGGTTTTGGTCAGTCTTTTCGGGTTTGCCGGCTCTAGTGTATCCCATTCGTGGCAATATAGATCTGAATCTGGATAACTTATGCATTCGCACAATGGAGATCATTCGCACAAGTGTCTTCGCAGGCAGAGATACGACAAAGCGCAGCAAATTAGCAAAATACACCGTTGCCTATAAGTTGTAACCAACAGGGATAATATCATTACAGCCTGCCTGCACAGTGAAAGTGAGTATTTTGTTCCACATGCTACGATCAGCGATAACGCCACGATAGGTTTAGGGTGTTATAACTTACATCCTTTAATCCGGTATACTGCGGAATAGATTTCACGGCATGTATGAACAGTCGTCGTGCGCGACGGTTTAGCACCACATTAGTGTCCCAGCACACTCTCTTCATGCCTTGCCGCGGCACCTGAGGATACAACGCCAAACCGATAGAAGGTTCGGCGGCGCCGTCTAGCGCACCGTAAATGGGCCATGCATTATAACTCAGGATTCCGTAGTAGGAGGAATTTTCAGCTTGCAAGATGGATTTTCTGTAGACAGATTGAGCCGGAATTTTCACACAACTGAGCAGAAATTTGCAGACAAAAAACGACAAACTGGCTTACTGTGACTGCATCGTGCAATTGAGTTCTGATTGCTCGGGATTCGCCGGCATCATTAGCAGAAGATCTTTGGCCGACTGGGAACTCATTCCGGGAATATCGATCATCGTGTTCAACTGGAAAACACACACTGCAATTACTGCGAGTAACCGAGATGGCATAAAACATTAGCGAATGGATTTCCTTCCTATATCTGTAGGAGAAAGTTTAATAAGAACGTTAACAAATTAAGGGACTGGCAGGTTTTCCAAATATATGCCAAATACATGCATTATGACTTCATGACCTGTGCCTAAAAGGTAGTAACAGTACTGAAGTTCACCATTGATCCATGAATCTGGTATACTTGTAACAGGAAATGAGCAAATATATGAGAGTACAGAAACCTCAGTACGGTATACTTACAGTGGAACCTCCCGACCCTGAACACTCTCGGTACGGGGTTTCTTGTTCAAGGTTCGGGGGTGTTCAGGGTTCAGAAGTGCTGCCCCTGGGGGCACCTACGCCCCTGGGGGGCGCATAAAATTCCAGACGGAGTAATATACATTATATAAGTGCGAACAATAATAAACAAAATGATATATACCGTTCTTACATAATATATTTCCCGGCGGAAGTTAATAGTTAAGTTGATTTTATGTTATTCTTATGCTTTTTTTGTTCGTCGTTATGTCTAATATTCAAATTCATTTACTGAAACTAAGGCTACTGTGAGCGCAGGCGTACATGCGTACACCCTCGCTTTGGCAGTCTGTTGTGTTCTGTTGCGCGCCCGCCTTACGCGAGGCGGAAGCACGCTGTTCTGCACGCACCCGCACTGTGTGGCGGCTACGTGCGCATTTTCCACGCTTGCTGCAGTCAGCAATGCGGAGTTGTCAATTGGGAAATTCTATCGAATTTAGTCTTGTCATAAATTCCTAGCAGTCACGCCATTTCTCGCTTTCTGTAGCGTAGGCGCATTTATAGCACTGCCAGGCTTTTTGGTAGGCAGAATCACGTCAATTCTGTTCCTACGCGTGAACCTTCACCAGGTCCACGCTCATATGGTAGCAGGAGCTGTGTTTCTCCAGATAATCTCTGAAGTTTTTCCCGTCCAATTGACGAGGAGTTGAGGAAGTCTCCCGCGAGAAAGGGCTCGCGTACGGTTTGGTGGCGAAGGGAGCGTTTGGATCCACTCAGCAGACTTGAAAACGGTGCATCTCTACTGCGTAGAGTGCACTGTATCAGTCTGACGCGGTCAGGGCTACTGTCGTAGCTTTGACTGGAGGGGCACAAGCGCCGAGAAAGATCGCCAGAAGAGGCAGAAGCCCGAAGGGGGGCACGAGTGGGCAAGCCACTTTGGACTGCGGGTGTGGAGTTTCAGGTGCTACTATACTGCAGTAGAGAGCACACATAATACGCGCTCTCCCAAAAGGGTGATCGAGCGCCCCTGTCGTTGCCAACGTCAAGGCGCGACAGAAGACCCGCAGCCAGCAAGTCTTTTGGTCGACGCACCGCTGCGTCCTGCTGATACGAAGCAGAAGGGGTGTCGGCTGGCCCAGGAGAAGTCAGCTAAATCGCTGGAGGAGCATCAGGAGGATTCGCGGAAGGACGCAGGATCGATTTCTGGACTTGGGAGACGAGCAGGTCAGAATTTCGGTTATTAATTTTACCATTGGTCGATAGGTAAAATCTTCAATTTTCATTCGTCGGTTCTGAGCTGAGCAGAGAAGTAGGCGGTTTTTTTGCGCACGGCGCGCTAGCAAAAATTTTCGGTTTTGGTCGTGACGTCTCTCTGCCTTATAAACAGAAAAACAACGCTTCTGATTGGTCGGTTATTCGCACTGTGATTGGCGCAGCAGCGTAGCTAAAGTTAGCTAGGAAATCAGCCAATTAAAAGCTGAGATTTTGTAAGGAGGCGGAGTTTTTGCGCACGACGCTCAAGATCGTGACGTAACTAGCTAAGAAAATTTTTTGAACTGACTGACGAGAAGTTGACCTTTACCAAAAATTTCGACGAGAATGATGACCTTTATTAAAAGTTGAAAGCTGAATAAATAACGTTTATTCGAGGAAATCTAAGTTGATTTCTCAATAAAATCGAAAAATATTCTCAGGTTAGACGTTCTAGACCGAAGTTGATAGTGACCTTTAAACAGAAAAGTTCTGAAGGAAAAAGTGACCTTTAACGCGACGGAGTAAGCTATTAAGCTGAAACAGTGGGAAATTAATCTCATTTTACTAAAGGAAGTGACCTTTAAAAGGGATTCAGTCAAATTTTTTCAAAGAAAAAGTGACCTTTAGAAGGGACTTAGCACTTTTTTGAGGCAGAGTGACCTTTAGTAAAATTGAGCTGATACAAAAGAAGGTGACCTTTAGGGCAGCGCTTGTTTCTGTTTACGTGTAAAGGGGCTTACGTAGCTTAAACTAACACACGTGTCAGAAACATTATTAGCATCGTCCAAGTTATCCGATCATCAACTCAAGTCAAGACAAAGATATGGATCAAGACGGAGACGGTAATGAACCGATCTCATCAGGGTCCCAAGGAAAACGGTCAAGGGACACGGAAAACCCGTATGAAGTGAAAAGGCAGCCGTACACACGGCCGGTTGCTCACGAAAGGGCAACTCGAGCTCAGAAGACCTTTGGGAGGAAGGACACCAGAGGCTCAGAGGCCACATACCAAACGGCCCTGAGGGAAACTCAGAATGAGAGCTCGAGCGATGGAAGTGGAGAGAACTCCGGGCGACATGCCGGAGATAACACGGTAGACTCAGCAAAGGTCACCGATGTGAGAATGGTCACAGATGGAGAGAACAAAGATGACCTGAAGGCCGAGACCGGAGGAATGGCACGGTCGGCCGAAAAGGTCAAGGAGGATCAAACTGAGAAGGGAAATACCGAAGTCAGCCAAAAGGTCACCGAAGGTGGTGGCGCCGTCAGCAGCGACATGCTGATTGACGAAGGAAAGGTCAAACAGGATGACCTTTCGGATAACTCACTGTTCCTACAAGAACAGCTGGAAGAGAATGGTAACAGCCCCATGTCAAGTGACAAGTTCTACACTGATGACGAGGACGAAACGACGATACGAACATCTTTCCATACGGCCTTGAAAGAAGCCAGTATAACAAAAGAGATGTTCGAAACGACCATTCAAGACAGGCTAGAAGAGACCTTCGAAGGGACGGCGTCAGGAAAGGCCGACGACCGGGACCAAAGGTCACCATCACCAAAAACATCGGTACTAAACGGATTAAAGCAACGAGTAAAGGAGCTTGAACGACTACTCGACGAGAAAGAAGAACAAGCGTTTGCCGCGATACGAGATCAACGTAACAAAACCTTTGAGGCGGAGGCCAGATTGAGTGTGACGGAGGACGAAGTGCAACACTGGAAGGTCAAATTTGAAGTCCAGAAGCAAGCCGCAGAAGATCTTAAGAAAATGGTTGAAGATCGAGACACGAGAGGAACACTCACCGACGAAGACAATGAATTGTCCGAGGAGGTAGCTGAAAGGTCACGAGAGATAGCAGAATTGAAAGGAGCGTGACCTTTTGCAGTTAAAGGTCAAGGAAGTTGAGAAGAAACGTGATGAATCCTTGTCGAATGCGACAAAATTCACAGGAAAGATCACTAGCCTTACAGCAGACAACTCCAAGTTGAAAGACGAGCTCAAATCACTTGAAGAAAATAATAAAACGCTCCAAACAGAATTACAAGACACGAGAAAGAAGCGACACGAAGCAGAGAGCCAACGAGAGCAAGTAGCGAAGGAACTGCTCGAACTGGCAGAAAAAACGAAAACCGAATTCAAACGTATCAATGATGAAGTCGAGAACCAAAAGAAAGAAGCAAAGAAGTGGCTGAAACAAGCACAACTTTGTGACGAACGGGTCACTGTGCTAGAGGTCGCAAATGGAGAAGGGCGAAAAGAAAACGAAAAACAAAAAGCAGAAATCATAAAACTCAGCGATGAACTCGTGGAACTGGCCACTATAGTTATGGAAAAGGATGATAAAATCAAGGAGCTTGAAACAGTCAAAGAGGAGTGCGAAGCGAGAGGAAGGACCCTCGCAGATAGAGCGGATCGTATCACACGGTTGGAAGCAGAAGCTGATATCCTAAAAGCAGCAAAAATGGATCTCGATAAGACTCTCGATAACCGAGCAAGTACAATCCTCGAGCAAATGAGAAAGGTCACCGAAGCAAACAACGATTATGAGAAGCTCAGGAAAGACGCAAACGAAACCGTAAAGCAGCTGCAGCAGACAGTCAAACAAAGAGAGGAAGAAATTAAAACTTTAAAACGGTCGGCAAAACAAAAGGAAGGAGAGGCAACACAGCCGGAACGGATCGAATCTCCACCCCCCGGATATGGCGAAGTCCACACCGTCGAAGGTAGCTTCCATTTCCAAGCTCCCTTAAAGACGGGTACTGGCCGACGCGACGGCCATGATGAAGATAAGGTCAAAGCTGAAAAGGTCACCGACGATACTGAGTTGGCGAAGGGGCACTCAGGACCGATCGGTGGGGTCAATCCTCGGCAACAAGAAACAGGACCGAGGGAAACAATCGTCTACAAATCTGACCATCAGCCAGACAATCATGAAGATCCACGAGTTCGCCAAAACGAGCAGGAAAGGGTAGCTCGTGAAGAGGAGAGGCGAGAAAGAGAATACCGCGCGGAATACCACGCTGAAGCACAGCGACTCCGTCGCGAAGAACGGGAATTCAGAGGTTACATGAGAGCCATGGCCCGGAAATCCGCGTTGATCGACTACAACGGCAACCGAGAAGCTTTACTTGGTTGGATCCGTCAGGTCAAGGAGACTCAGAAGACGTATGACCTTTCGGATGCAGCAATGATGCTGGAAGTCGCCAACGCAGTCAAAGGGGACGCGAAGGCATGGTTTGACGCGGAAAGAGAAATCGATGACGAAGAAGAGGCGGAAGAGTTAACCGTCGATGAATGGATGACAAAGTTCAAAGAACATTTCGGCGATCGTGACGAAGGGGTCAACGCCTTAAGAGAAGCAATGACGAGAAAGTTTGAGGCTGGCAAAGAAACGCTTGACCAGTTCTACCAGGCGATCATGCGCTTCAAATCGAAACGGATCATAACTGAGAAGCAGGCCATTGGATTCCTGATTCAAGGATGTAAGAATGACAGTGACCTTTATAAGGCACTTCGCGCACAGAAATTCCATAACCCCATGGACATCAAGGAATTCTTCCGTACATGGTCGACTGGCGAAGAAAAGTATAAGGTCACGAGAGGCAACCGAACTCAAGATGACTGTGTCATAATTCGGTCAGGCCAGATCGAAGAAGTCGCGAATGGGCGACAGAACCAGTCGTACTCGGCGCAGGTACCAAGATATAACACGGAATTTCCGCCTTTAGGCACTCAAGAGGTGACCTTTGACAACGAGCGAAATGAAGGTCAGATATCGTACGCGACGATCGCGGCGATACAGACAGCGGTCCAAGAAGCGACCAAGCCTGCGATCGCGGCGATCCAAGCATCAGCTCAGCAAGCAGCAAGGCCAAAACAGAATCCACAAGGAAACGTGCAAAGAAATGCCCTGAATGGAGGGCTTGGCGGTCAGGGAATGGCTCAAGGGAATCCGGGCTTTGCCGGCCAAGGATTCAACGGTGGCTGAGGAAATCAAGGAAACTTCCGACCGAACCGTGGACAAGGAAATCAAGGACCACGATACGGGTCGCGAGTAGAGCGCCTGTTCACCATGATCGACGGATGGGTGGCCAATAACGCGCTGACATGCCAGAACTGCATGTACGGTAACCACCACACGCAAGCGTGTTCGTTTGCGGGGACACCGTGGAATCAGAACCCCAACAGGGTCGTGTATGAAGAATGGTTGATGTTGCGTAACAATCATGGTGGATGGCGCAACGCAATGGCAAATGGTTATGTGCCACAATCACGCCAAGGTGGACGGTATGCCGGTCAAGGTGGCCAGGCCAACTACAATAATCAAGGCGGCCAGGGTAATTTCGGTGGCCAAGGAAACTTCGGCGGTGGTCAAGGTGGCCAAGGAAACTTCGCCGGAGGCCAAGGCAACTTCGCCGGTCAAGGTGGCCAAGGCGGAGGAAATGGCGGATATGGTCCGGTGAGAGGAGGCTTCCGAGGAAGAGGAAGAGGCCGTGGCGGCAATCGCGGAAATTACGGCGGTGGCCAATGGAACGGCGGTGGTCAAGGTGGCCAATGGAACGATGCTGGTCAAGGAGGCCAGTGGAATAACGGTGGTCAAGGTGGCCAGAATTTTGCCGGTCAAGGTGGCCAGGGCAATTTCGCCGGTCAAGGTGGCCAGGGCGACTTCGGCGGGCAGCAAGGCGGCTTCGTCGGTGGGAACCAGAACGGTTTCGGTCAGCAAGGCGGAGGCTTTAACTTCGCCCCGGCGAATGGTGCCGGTCAGGCGCAAGGTGCGCCGGTTCAGGGAATGGTCCAGGGAAACGTTCAAGGTCAGTAGGCGCCGGTGAGCCTACTGATCGTCCGGAACCGAAACCACCGGATATAGAGGAGCAAGGTGCTCCGCTGCAGGCAAAGACCGCAGCGAGAAAGGGATGCTGCGAAAGTAACGCAAAGACCCGGAAAAGAAATCCGTGGATTCGAGAAAGTAACTCGAAATCGAGCGAAGGGGCTCATAAAGGTCAAGAGAAGGGTTTAAAAAGATTGCCGCAAGGACGGAAGAATCTGACCGAAAGGTCACCGCAGAAAGTAACTGCGGGAAGTCAAGAAAGTAACTTGACTCGACCGGGGCCGACCGAAAGGTCACCGCAGAAAGTAACTGCAGGGTTGACGGAAGGTCCTCAACTCTGCATCCGGGACAGCAGAAAGTAACTGCAAATCAAGAAAGTCACGAAAGTAACGTGACGCTGCAAGGACAGCAGACCCAAAGGTCACCGCAGAAAGTAACTGCGAGGAAAGGTCACGAAAGTAACGTGACGCTGCAAGGACAGCAGACCCAAAGGTCACCGCGGAAAGTAACCGCGAGGAAGAGTGAAGCAACTCTGCGAAAAGCGCAAGCTGAAAGTTCCAGCGAAGAGGATGATGAAGCACGTCATTCCAGATTTCGGAAATACCTCCAAGAGACAGAAAAGCCAACTCAAGAGAGAGCTGAAGAAGTGAAAGGTCACGAGAGATTGCCAGTGCAGCAGACTCAAAGGTCACTGAATGAGAAAGGTCACGGTGAAGTCGCCGATGAACCGAAAGGTCAAGAAAGTAACTTGACTCTGCGAATGGCGCAGCAAACAGTGAAACAGAGCGAAGGGGCACAGCAAGTCTCAGATGACTCTCTCGATGAGGCTAACACTCTACAACAAAAGATGGAGTGGCAAAAAGTGGCTTACAGACCGAATGGACGGCACGGTATGTGGAAACCAGTTCCTCCGCCACAAAGGTCACCGCAAGATGCGAGAATTTCCAGAGAAGCTTACTGGGAAGAAAGAGAGAAACAAGATTGGCGGATGAGAAAGCATCTCGAGGAAATGGTTAAAGCTTCACAACCGAAAGTACAAGAGTACTGGAAAGAGAAAGTCCAATGTGACGAAAATAACCGTCAGTTTTGGGAGCGGATTGAGAAGGGTGAATTACCGCCTCAGTATGGTGAGAAAGTGCCTTTACAAAGGTCAACAAATGGCGGATTTTTCATGTCAAGACCGAAAAGGTCACCGGACTTAGCGCAAACCCCACAGAAGGAGAAGTCATACGACATGACAGAAGAAATCCGGAATGACAACGAAAGGTCACCGCCAAGAACTGACGGATTGTCATCTCAAATCGATCCAACTCGCACGAATAACGAAATTGCGAAGAAAATTACCGATTGGATGAAAGAAAACGACCATAAGATGGTTGTGTACGAAAGGTCACCAGAGAAAAAGAATGAAGATGACAAGATGACCTTTGCGGATGAAATTACACAAGAGATAATGGCAAAGTTGCAAGAAAAACCGTCCAAAGATGTGCGCAATGAAAGGTCACAATACGAAGTTATTGCGCAAGTGATAAAAGGTCACGAGAACGCACAAGAGAAGGGTTTAATGTGCGAAGTGGCAAAGGTCACGAACAAAGAAACCGCCGCGAAAGAGCAGACGAACGCCTTACCGAAATCAAAGCGGATAGAAAAGTTCTCAGACGTGCGACCCGACGTACCGAAACGGATAGATCGTTGGAGCTCAAAAGGTCTGATAGAGAGCAAGCATGCTGCACCAATCCCAGTCAAGTGTCGAATAAGAGTCTTGAAACTCGAAGATGGAAACTTACCGAAACGGATCGAAGCTTATACACATGAAGTCAAAATTGGAAATAAAAAGGTCATGGCAATGCTTGACACTGGCGCAGAGACGTCTTTGATTTGTCAACAGTTCTGTGAAAGGAATGGCCTCCAGACTGTAAGACTACCACCGAAAAAGAAGGTGATGATCAAAGGGATCAGCGGAACGTCAGGCTTCGAAGTAACGCACTACTGCGTAGCACCAGTGACCTTAAGAAGGAAAACGAGTCAACACTCGTTCTACGTCAGACCAGCGTCAGACGACGTCCAAGTCCTACTGGGATTCGACTTCCTCGCAAAGAAATTCGTCGTGATAGACGGACACGACGAGGAAGAAAGGGAAACTGAAGCTGAAGACGATGAGCCGAAATCATCCGCAAAAGTTAATGCAGGAAAGGTCACCGAACTTCAACCAAGAAATAATTCGGGGCAGACGGCTATCCCAGTACCAGAGGCACAGGGATCGAAAGATAACAAACAAAATGAGAATGGTGAAAATCTACTCCCAGTTCCAGAGGCACAGGGATTAGAAAATGCTGGAAAAAGCAAAAGGTCACCGAAGTCTAAGGAAATCAAAGGTCACCAACGATGAAACAAATCAAGATAATGCAAGCAGAAGCACTGATTGCAAAGAAACAGTCGCTAGTGCCAGGAATGGAGTGGTCAAGGCTACTCCCAGTACCAGAGGCACTGGGCACGAGAATGGTTGGGCCCAGGACAGAGCCAGGACTGATGAACAGCGACGAAAGAGCACTATTCTCGGAAATACGAGATCAAGCCATAAAGCAACTGGATGCAAGGAAAACGGAGCATGGTGCTCAACATACTTTCGAACCACGTGATAAAACAAGAGGGCGGATGAAAGGTCGAGACACGCGCCTGCGCAAAGAGGTAGCAGAGAGTAGTCGTCGTCTTACTTCCGAACCACGCTCTGCAGATGAAGAAATCGAAGTCATCGAAATATCATCAGATAACAGCGTAATCGAAATCGAAAAAGATGACGAATGGACAGATACCGATTCCGGAGAAACGGATAAGCGAGTTATCGTCCGTCCCGAACCGAGACAACGGATGCCGGAAGGGAACAATCGCGTCATTTCCCGCAAACCAAGAGAATGGACTGCGGAAGAGAGAGCAACCTCTTGCCATCACGATTGGCACGACAGCGATGACCTTTCGATAGCGCGACCTCAAGAAAGATGTGCAAAATGCATGCAAGAAATGACACAAGATGACCTTTCGGAATGGCCGAAATGCAATGCAGCAATTGCACGTCATAAAAGACAAGAAGAGAAAGAGGTCAAGTCGATTATGCGAACACTTCCCATGCCGGAGCTGTCAAAAGCAACTTACCTTTGGCAATGTTATCGAGAATGGTTATCGGTAGTCAAGAACTACATCATCTCCAGAGGGAAGTGGCTCCATCATTGGCAGCAAGAAGCGGACAACTTCATTCCCGAAAAAGCGGATAAAAGCGACCCATGGTATACAAACCCGATTACAAAGCTCGACAGAGAAAGGCGACGAGCAATGGAAGAGAACGAAATATGGGAACAAGCTAGGGTTGACTTATTCTGGGAATTCAGAGTCAATTACCTATGGAAAGGTCAAGGACGAGCGATCATTTTCCCAATCGGACTCGGCACAGTAGTGTACGAATTATTTGACCTTTACCAGGCCTGCCTCAAAAAGGGAAATTTAAGAGAATGGAACAAACAATGGGGCAAAATCCTCGAAGAAGTACCGATATATACAGGAGAAATCCCTGAATTAAAGGTCACGCAAAAAAGACGCGAACTTGGATTATTTGGCTATCCGAGAAAAAAGAAGGTGACCTTTGCACCAGACCCAGATGGAGTGGAGTATCCCGAAAGAGGCGGAGATACTTGGTGCATGTATGAGACGGTACCGAACAATGACTGGACTACAGAAGAACTGATGGCAAATTGCGTCTTTATCGGCGATAAAAGACCGAAAGGTCACGGCACAAGCGCTGAAAAAGAAAACGGCACAAGCGCCGAAGAGGAAAAGAACAAAGATAACGGCACAAGCGCCGAAGAAACCAAGGAAAAAGAACAAGAGGTCAGCACAAGTGCCGCTCAAGAAAACGGCACAGGCGCCGAAGAAGAGGAACCAACGCACGGCGTATGAGTTGGCTCAGATGATCAAGGAACTGAACCAGGCGTTTCGGGATAAGGAAAACGGAATCCCGGTAACAGAGGCAAAAAAGGCTCAAATGTCGCCGCAAGAAAAGAAAGCAGCGTCGTTAGTGGCTTCACTACAAAGGTCACTCGGTAACGGTGAGGAAGGGCCACCAACCGAGAAGAACGAAAGGTCACTAAACGCGATGCTGGAAGAAGAGCCAGAAAGGTCAGTTCCGAAAGTTGACGAAAGGTCACCTGAAACTGGCGAGGAAGGGCCGCCAGTTGGAAA